AACTATTCACAGATTATAGCAAATGAGTGACATGCAATAAAAATTCATATAGAATTATCTTATAAAAATCTGTATATTATATAAACTTCTCAGTGATATGAGATTCATGATTATTTATTAAAAGCAATCAATGACTTCCTTTCTGTTTCTTTTCTGTAGCAGGATTGAAATATTTAAGTTATTTAAATTCAATCATATCATTTTTAAATACAGTATCTGATAGAGCAATTCTATAATTGCTGAGTAAATTTGTCTATGTATATCAATTCTTCAAGTGTGTTTTGAAGATCAAGATTATCAATAATAAAGTAATATAATTATCTATGAATATATATTCAATAACTGTAATCAAATCTTTTGAAAAAAAATGAAAAAATAATAAAATTAGCTTCTTTAAAAGCAGTTATAATTTATTTTTCACATTTTTATTCTTCTTAAAATTCAATCTCATCAAAGTTGTATATATAGGGGTGAAATTGATACTGCTCAAATAGAATCTGAAGATGTTCAAATCATATATTGATATATTCAATGTCTTTAACTGCTACTCTCTTTGAATTCATTGACTTTTATTTTATCTTCAGATACTCAGATAGGTATTCAATGAATTTATAAGTTTACCTCTTGCTGACTTTTGAAGAAGAGGTAGTAAAATCTATATGCTGATATCTAAGTATTGAATTTGTGAAATCTTTAATATATTCAACTATGAGAGAATAATTCTTTTCATAAAGCAGCTTGACTTATCATTTAATTGTATTTTTCTGACTCATATTTAATCTCTTATTAATTGAAATCCTTATAGTATTCAGATTTCTTTCATTAATATACAATTGAACATGTTGATAAGAAACCTCAAATTCTTGATACAGAGATAGTATTTTAAAAATTTAAGTTTTTTTAATGATAAGTGATAGCTTTTTGAATACAGTCTTTGATATTTTAATCTTTATTTGATATTATAGTGAGTTATTAATTGATGAAGATGATGATGATTATGAATTTACAAGATTTTTATTATTTCAATATTTTTATCATTTTGATATGGTGTACTCATGTGAGGTGTAAGTTGCACAATGGTATAATTAGTTAATATATAAAAAAAAAATTAAAAAATGTAGAATTTATTCTGAATTTAAAAAAAAATTTAATTATAAAAAAAAACTTAATTACTTTAATTTTTATGATTTAGTTAACTAACGTAATTTCACACTGAGTGAGACATCTCAGTGAGTGAGATATCAAAATCACTGTATCTCAATTAATTAGATTTTAATCTGAAATATCTACACTTATTCCTCTCTAATTAAATTAAATTAAATACACTAGATTGAAAGCATTTTGTTCTCTTATAATTAGATAAATTGTAGTTGCTGCATTACTGTGATGCTTCTGAGTATGATCTAAACTCAGATATTATAGACTTAGAATATTGAATGACAGACTGTTCAACAGATGCAGCAGATGAAATAATAAGATTTTAAGCTTTCTGCCTAGTGAGACCCTCTGCATATTGAATCTGATATTTAGATCTAGTCTTCTTTTGCTTTTCTATCTCATTTATATTAAATATATTCTAATATTGCTTCTTTAAGATAATGACACTAATCATTTCATGTTCACAAATCTTGAGAATTTGATCAAAGTCTTCCACAAAGCCTTGAGGCTAACCTTTCATTAAGTATTTAATCTTATTTGCCTGCTGGTGTAATTGCCAGGGATTACTAGATGTTTGAAGCATTTAGAATATGATTGAATTGCTAGAGCTGCTGTGTGAGAAGGTAGAGGTCCAGAGTTGAATATCCAGCTACTGGAGAATATAGTTAGATTGAAAGAGCACTATTCTAGCAGCTTTGAAGCTATTTTAAATAGTCTGCAGTTTAAAGACTTCAGTGTATGCTGCAGGATAACTTTCTAATAAATCTGTCTTTTAAATAGTATTAAATTCTAACTGCATTTACTGTTGAACTAGACACTCATATGCTTACTTTAAGATTGCAAAAACACTTACATCTAGTAACTGTAAGAGATGTGATGAATAAGATGACATACAAAGATATATAATAGCATTATTCTTGCAGATTTGATTGAATTCTGAGATAAAGTGACTGCTATGCCCATCCAAAATAAGAAAACTATAAGTATCAACTCTGTATAAATTTGCAGCAGGAATAAATAGTCTAGTAAGTTATTTGACTTCGATTTTATTCATAGTTTAATTGTTAGAGTTAACATCAAGTCCTCAGTTGTTTGAAAGTTTGTCAAACCAGCCTTTCTGTAGAATCTATTCTTTGAGAATGATGTATGAGGATAGAGCTCATTCTAATATGTTGACTGCCTCAATCACAGTCACTCATTCATAATTCTCAAACTGTAGGAGCTTTGCTCAGTTATAACACTCAGCACTAGTGATGATCTTATTAGTGACACAAAGTCTTATGATAAAATCAGTCTCATCAAAGTTATATATATTCTCTGACAGAATTTCATACTCAGCAATTACATTCTTCAAAGTCTTAAATTAATTTTGTATAACTTTAATATCTTTGCATTTGACTCATTCATGATTATAATATCTAGAATAGTAATTTTGAAGCTCTATATGATGTTTAATCAGTCTTGAAATCCAGTTCTTGCTGACTCAAAGAAGAGATATAGTAGAGATGATGAAATTCTGTAAGATAAGAAGATAATTAGTTATATTCTTAACAAATGCCAGCTGGGAGGAAAATCCTCATTTAACATGGTTCAGCACTCATTCAACTAGCCTATTCTCTTTAGTCTAAGTCGATTTGTATGAATTTGAATGTAAATTCACTCATGCAGGTCTGCCACTCAGTTGATGATCAAGAGTAGAAGATGAAACATCAAATAGACATGCAGCTTCACAAATTGAGAGTTTTTTTATCATTTTAAATAGAATTTATCACTTGTTCATACCTTTTCTTTCTCTTAATAGAATTTGAAGAATTTTTATTGTGAATTGATGATATAACTGCATAGTGAAGTGGAAGAGTAGTTAAATTAAATGATATTTTGAAATGATATCTCACTCACTGAGGTGTCTCACTCAGTATAGAATTACATTAACTAATAATGTAATCAATAAGTGAATCAGCCACATAAGCAAGTCAGCCACCTTTTATCTCATCTCAGAACAACATCTTTATCATTAAAGATGCCAATCACACAAAGAAATAAAGCCTTTACTCAGGAAGGAAGGCTTCTTTTAGCCATTCAAGCATTTAAAAATGGTCAAATTTAAAGTGTATGAGCTGCAGCAAAGCTGTATGATGTTCCACATTTCACCTTAGGTGATCAGATACATGATTGTACAGCACATGTTAACACTCTCTTAAAGAACTGGAAACTTAGTCTTACAAAGAAAGAATCTCTTGTTCAATGAATTCTGACCATGAATAAGTGAGATGTGCCACCTCAGATTGCAGCTGTATGAGAAATGGCCAATCTCCTTCTTACCAGTCAGAGATTAAACCCCCTACCCACAATAGGTAAATGCTGAGTATGAAACTTTGTCAAACATCATGAAGAGCTGAAATCCAAGTTCTCCTGCAAGTATGACCATCAATATGCACTATGTGGGGATCTTGAGATTATTTGTGGGTGGTTTAAACTCATATAAAACACTATTGCAAAGTATGAGATTCTGGAAGATGATATCTACAACTTTGATGAGACTGGATTTCAGATGGGGATTATTGAGACTGCCAGAGTGGTTACTGGGTCTGAAAGAGCCAGGAATTCCAAACTTGTACAGTCTGAAGATCAGAAATGAGTGACTGTCATTACTGGAGTCAATGTCTTTGACTGGGCTTTGCATATAATGATTATTCTCAAGGAAAAGATGCATTAGTCCTGTTGGTATGAGACTGAGGGACTGCCCAGGGATTGAGTGATTGAAGTCAGTGAGAATGGCTGGACAAATGACCAGCTGGGCTTGTACTGATTGAAAGAGGTGTTCAACAAAAAGACTCTACTCTAGACAAAGAGTACATACTGACTGTTGATTCTGGACTGGCATAGAAGCCATGCCTCTGCTGAATTTGATCAATTCTGCTCTGAGAATCAGATTATTGCTCTCTATATGTCACCTCATTCCTCTCATCTTCTCCAGCCATTGGATATTGGCTGCTTCTCCCCTCTGAAAACAGCATATGGATGACAGGTGGAGAATCAGATGTGGCTTGAGATCAATCAACAGACAGCACCACAGTGTAGTATATGTGGGATTACTGGGCATACTGCTCATACATGCTCTAGGCATATAGAAAATAATTGATAATATAATTCTTTCTCTTTTTCTTTATGATTGAGGCATAGATACATTCTCATCGTATAGAAGTGGCCAACTTGCTTATGTGGTCGACTCGCTTATTGATTACATTATAACTAAGTTAACTAATAAGTTTACTAATTAATAGTTATAGTTAACTAACTAGTATGAATTTCTTTTATCTTTCTAAGACACAGTCTAGATCATATATAAGTAATTACAGACATGTATCAACTTAATAACACATTCAAATATATAAAAATAGGATGTCCTGAACCTATTTTAATTTAATTTAATATAATTTAATTTAGTTAGTGGTGGTTGAGTGTATATATTTCAGATTGAAATCTACAGAGTAGTTAATTCAAGACAGATTATCTGAGTTTGGCTGCCCTACTCACTTGTGGATTACGTTAACAGTTACTTTGTTGCTGACTCTCATGACAATGTCTCCAACGACGCCCAGCGCTGGTCCTCACCGCATGCCCCCGCGCTCATAGCAACCGGATGGATAAATAATAATATCACCAACACCAACTCCACACCTCCCCTATATTCATTCCTGTTCCTATTCCTTCTCCTCCTCTTCTTCTTCCTATTACTCCTTGACTTCTAAGCAGTCTTTCCCATAAATCAACCATTTTACCTCCCATTTTACTCTGCGCTTATCTGCCAATAACCCCCCGTTCTCCAACCTCCAGTCGCCATGGCGGGCCGTTTTGTTCGCTCATCCAAGTATCGTGCGTGGCTCTCCTAGATAATCAAAAGAAATCAAAAAGACCAATTGTGTCCACCTTTCCCCGCGACTGACTGCTGCATGCTCTGCTGTAACAGGACATGTCTTCGGACGCCCAACGCGAAAGGTACTCGTGCAGCTATCCTTCCTCTTATTATCCATAAGTTTATCCCTTATCCCTTATTCCACCACCGAATTTGGTGCTAACCTTGTACCTCCAATGTCCAGGAACAATGTTATGACAATCTCCACATCTCCAGAAATGCCTGGGACACCAATCTCGTGAAGGTTCTGTTCCCCCTCTGTCCCTGAAGACTATGACCCGGAAATCGAAGGAAACCTGGTCCTAATATATGTTTGATATGGTTAGGTCAACCCTCAATACATATCGGTCAACTGGGAAACCTCAGGGGGTGGCGCGTTCGCTGTATTGCCAATCAACGAAACCGGAAGACTCCCTGAACGGTTCCCTCTCTTCCGCGGACATACCGCCGTTGTGCTGGATACTGACTGGTGAGAAACCCCATTTATCCCTCAGGGACGATCAACCAACCAACCAATCGAATCTATCAATCAATATTAACCGTTGGACTTGATAGGAACCCTTTTAACGACTCCTTGATCGCGTCGGGGTCCGATGACGGCAAGGTAAAATCTTAGGATCCTTCTCCCTTCCAAACTCCCTTCCCATTTTCTCAATTTCGACCTCCATTTATCATATTATCCATACATCTATCGCATTACATGTCGATATCCTGCTGAAATTGGACAGGTTTTTTTATGGAGAGTGCCGGAAAATTTCACATTATACTCGGATGCTGAGCAAATCGAAGATATCTCGCCCATGGGAAAATTAAGTGGACATCCAAGGTATGATCCCCATCCCCCATCATGCCACTATCGATACGAAAGAAGGCTGTGCGAGATCTGTGACTCACTTTCTTTTTCCTTTTTCCTTTTTCTTTTGTTTTGTTTTCAGGAAAGTTGGACATGTTCTTTTCAATCCTGCCGCCGAGAACGTTTTGGCATCATCCTCTGGGGACTTCACTGTTAAAATCTGGGACATCGAATCCGGATCGTCCAATCTTACACTGAAACATGGCGAAGTGATTCAATCTCTGTCCTGGAGTGCAAATGGCTCGATGTTGGTTACGACTTCACGCGATAAGAAACTTCGATTTTGGGATGTCCGTCAGGAGAGAGCTGCCCACGAAACCGCTGGCCACTCTGGCGCTAAGAGCAGCCGCGCTGTATGGATGGGAGAACATGATCGTGTCGCCACGACCGGATTTTCGAAAATGAGCGATCGCCAACTGGCTTTGTGGGATATCCGTGCCCCGAGAGAGCCTATCGGTGGTTTCAAATCTCTCGATTCTATTTCTGGCGTCTGCATGCCGTTTTGGGATGAGGGAACCCAGTGCTTATATTTGGCAGGAAAAGGGTAAGTAGAATGCCTTTCATTCTTGTTGATTTACGTTTTGGTGACTAACTTTTATCTAGGGATGGTAATATCCGTTACTTTGAATATGAGAATGACAAATTCGAATACCTATCAGAATACCAATCAGCAGACCCGCAACGTGGTGTTGGCATAATGCCGAAACGTGGCGTGAACATGCATGAGAACGAAGTGGTTAAGGCGTTCAAGACCGTTAATGATACCTACATTGAGCCCATTTCCTTCATTGTTCCTCGAAGGGCGGAGATGTTCCAAGACGATATCTACCCGCCCACCACTGGCCTCAAACCAGCCATGTCATCTGGTGAATGGTTTGCTGGCAAGGAAGGTCTCCCACCGAAGATTGACATGGAGAGTTTATACGGGGGTGAGGGACTCAAGGAAATCGCCTCGAAAACAGCCTCCGCTCCAAAAGCCACTCCCTCCGTTAAAGCGCATGAGTATACTTCGAAGGAGCCAGAATCTCGAAAACCTGCTCCCGCCACTGTCAGCACTGTCATTCCTCCATCTGTACAGGAGCAAGCTTCCTCTGTGGCAAACATGGTTTCCAAATATGCAGATCACGAAGAAAAGGGGGAGGATGGTGATGATAGCTCGAGCTTCGAGGAAGTCCAAAAGCCAGCGAGTCGTCCATCTGCCATTACATTTTCTTCACCGGGAGTCAGAGAGCCAGTTGTGGCATCGAAAGGGAATTCGAAGGCAGAGCCCCTCCCCACGACCTCTACACCCAACAAGGTACGCTCGTCACTTTCGTGTTCCATTTTCGGTAGTGTTGACATTCCACTCTTGGGTATACTCACTGACTTTCTAGTCATCACCGTACACTTCCACCGCGGACATTCCGTCTGGTGTACATGATGTAGTTCAACGTGAACTGTCGTCTATACGAGCATTAATTGCAGAGCAGGGCCGGACAATTGTTGCTCAGTCCCAGCAGATTCAGTTCTTAATGAGCGAAATCGAAGAGCTGAAGAAGAAGTTATCCTAACGTTTCCCCTTACCCTCTAACTCACGTTTTCACTCCTTGGATATATCTCCCTTGATTGTTTTACCCTTTTCTATCCTTCCACCAACCCATTCAGGATCTGTCCATCATGATGAACTGTGTTTCTGTTGCGAATAGTATAGTTGTACAGCCCGTTTTTCATGTTCCTTTCCTTTGGCTTTGCTTTACCAGAAGTGCCTGCATGATTCTGAAAGCAAAAGTTGTCTACTGCTAAGCTGAAATTTAGTCGGTGTGGTTACATTGCCGAAGAGAGCGTAGATTTTCTTTTCCCGTGTAAATTTTGATTCACCTGAAGTATCCCTTTGCAATCTAAAATACCCTAAATATTCCATCCAAGGCTGTGCCTTACATCCAATTCTATGATGTAAAGTGCCTATAGTTCAATATTCACAGTCAAAATTTAATAGTGAAGTACTGCATGTAATTCTGTAGTATTATGCACCTAGGGACCATTCAGGTGGAGGGTTTTATCCATAATGTGAGATGATATATTATTAATGAAGGGTAACTGAATACCGTTCAATGCCAGACTGGTTAGCCGATTAAAATAATAATAATAATAATAATAATAATAATAATAATAATAGTATACGAGAATAATGTACGAACTATAATAACCACATATCAAGCAACATGGTTTGGACGCTATGATGATATAATTAAATATTGTCAATGTGGGAACCTCCAATGTTGAGACGAAATTTACCGGATCAGGGTTCATGTATACGGTTCCCATCAGTGATTTATTCACACGGAGAGCAGTTTGTTTCGTGCGATGTTATGGATAGCTTTTCAATTTTGGTGAAAGAAGACTATGTATGTACCTAGGTCTGTGATAGGAAAACCCCATATATTAAGCGCACAGCGGAAGAGAATGGAACCACATCACAGCGACGATCTAACAGTCTAGAGACTGGTTATGTTGAAGGATCATGGAAATGAGTAAAGGAAGAATTTGTTTTCGTAACAACTCGTACCAATTACCAAAATATATCATGCATCTATCAACTGCCCTGAGTGGCGTCTTCGTGGATTATATGAAAAAAGAGGGTTCTTTTCCCTAAATAGATGAAAGAATTTCTAGGCGCAAAAGGAAATAAATATTTTTTTTTTTTTTAAAAAATGGGGAAATATACAAGCTGCTTCACGCCAAGTGGGTAATATGGCTGACTTCGTATGGTTTCGCACTTCAAAGACAGGACACAATGATTCGTCCGTTCATTAAGCCCATCGAGCAGCTTCTCGTTCAAGCTCGACGCGCTTAGCTCTGGCTTGATCACTTTCCTCGTCTTCGTACTTATAACTGAGATGCCTTCCACCCAAAGTCCTACCTTGCCGGCTCTCGCGGCTCCGACTACATCTGCCCTCCCTGTCGGCATTCATTGCTTCCCGCCTCTGCTGTTCCTTTAAGAGTCGCTCACGATTTCGCGCCTCACGTTCTAGAGTATGTGGGTCTTTTTCATGTAGCCGTGATTCGCGATGCTCTGTTGATTTCTTCTCTCGATCTATAGCCATTTGCTCTTCTGCTTCATTTCGCTTGAGGCGCCGTGCGTGGCGACGAGAATGTTCAGTATCTTCTCGAGATCCTGATCGATCACGACGAGACCGTTTGCGATCGCGGTCGCGATCTTTGTCCCGTTCGCGTTTTGGATCGCGCTCTCGAACTCGCTCCCTATCCTTATCCTTATCCCTATCCCTATCCCTATCCCTATCCTTATCCTTATCCCTATCCCTATCCTTATCCCTATCCCTATCCCTATCCCTATCCCTATCCCTATCCTTATCCCTATCCCTATCCCTATCCCTATCCCTATCCCTATCCTTATCCCTATCCCTATCCTTATCCCTATCCCTATCCCTATCCCTATCCCTATCCCTATCCCTATCCCTATCCCGATCCCTATCCCTATCCCTATCCCTATCCCGATCCCTATCCCTATCCCTATCCCTATCCCTATCCCGATCCCTATCCCGATCCCGATCCCGATCTCGGTCCCGTTGTCGACTTGGTTTACCTTCAATCCCAGATCGGCCCTTGTTAGAACGATGGTCACTGCTTCGTATCGCAAGATCAAGCTTCTCCTCAGAGCTCGGCAGTTTGTTGGGGTCAACCCCAACAATTTCCCCATCACCAAGCTCGTGGTCACGATGCCTAGGACTTAAGCTCCGTGTGCGATGCCGATGTGGCCAATGGGTCGAGGTTGTCTTGCGGTCACTCTTTCTCTCCTTGTCGCGCTTACACTGATGCTCCAAACCTTTTGAAGGCTCCATAGACGGTGAGGGGGATCGTGAGTCCCTATAGTCCCGACGATTGGAGCTCTGGTCATCCTGATCATAGTCCTCGTGACGAGATTTCCGTCTGTGATCCCGGCTTCCGTCTTTGCCTGGGTCGCTCCCAGATATGCTCGGCGAACGGGATCGATGTCGATGTCTGCGGTGATGACGAGACCGGTGTCGAGAAGGGGATCTTGATACTGATTTTGGTCTGGAAATGGATGGTTCCCGTGAGTGAGGCGGCGAGTCGCTGAGAAACACTGTTAGATATGTCACCATAATGCTTGCAAGAAAATTGTGTTACCTTTGGGACTCTTTATCCCGCTTTGAAATGGACCCGCCTCCTCGCAGCAGAGCCGGGAATCCCCTACCATTGCGTATGCTAATGTTAGGCAGCCCTTCCCTCATGGCTCTAGGAGCAGCTGGAGCTCCGACAACACCCACACCGCGAGACTCCATCGACATGGTGTTGTTGCGATAAGGGGCGAACAGTCGCGTCGGGGAAGACTGTGGCATTTCGTAGGAAAGCGATGTAGTATCTTGACTTGCATTTGGTACCTTCATATAGGCCCCATCGTTGTTATTACCATGCTCTAGATGGTCATTTGTTTTCCGTGCTACAGCACCTACCTGGATATCTGTCCTGGATTGGCTTGCTTGATTGGCTGGGAGCGAACCATCAGCAGTTCTGTTGGAATTGTTGTGCTCTCCAGTTGGTAAAGGCGATTCGCTGGTAGCCTTGTTTTGCACGGATACTGTCGTTGGTTCGGTTGTAAGCTGGTTCTCTTTAAGGTCCTTCTCGCCGCCCGGGCAGAGATCATCATTAAACTTTTTGATATGATCCAAGTCCATATTGAATGTAGAAGCAGTACCATTAGGAACACCAGATACGGGGTCATTTTGAGGCTTGGCTTGCAAGGCGTTGTGGGGATGAAAAGGGCCTTGGTCAGTAGACGATGGGTAACTACCATGCAATGAAGACATAATAAATCCACCACGTCCGCGGCCACCGTGAAGAAACCCACGACCCCAGCCCCGGCCACGGCCATAGCCAGGAGCAAAACTGCCGTGGAAGTCATTGCTAGGATATTGGTGTTGTTGATGTATGTGAGGATAATTTGCGTAATTTTGGGACACATTATATCCACGATATCCACCAGGACTAGGGCCAAATTCAGCACCCATGCGGTTCGCGAATGGATTTGCATTGAATTTATCTGGACCTCCATTCCACATATTCTGATGACCATCCCATGCTCCATACATGCCCTGCACTGCGTTGAAGTTCATTCCCATATTCACCCCATTATTCATGCCATTCATATTCATACCATATCCTCCAAACATCCCCTGACTCGACACCATCGGATCCATGCCTAACCCTGACATTGCTGTACGTCCTAGCAGTGTTAGCACGCTGCTCACAAATAGAGCCAACCCTTAACTGAATAGGGAAGCTTTCTCGAAACATACCTATCTGATTCTGGAATGGCATCATCCCATTGCCTGGGGCGCCGCTGGGCATCGACTGTACCATATGACCAAAGCTACTTGCGCCCCCTTGCCAGCCCTGCTGTGGAAAGCCACTCATTCCACCCATTCCAGCCACACCATTCATCCCATTCATAGCGTATCCCGTTCCATGTCCATGTCCATGTCCCTGTCCACTTCCACTTCCATAGGCGTCCGAAGAGATGGAGGTAGTCGCAGATCCATGAGGCTGACCTGAACCGAAATCAGCAGGGGCAGGCGTGTTGTCGTCTGTGGCTGGTGGTTCCGCCTGCGTCTGCGCCTGCGTCTGTGCCTGCGCCTGCGTCTGCGTCAATGCGCCGGTAGGGTCAGCACCGGCGCCTTCCTCCGCGGATTCGTTGCTCCTTTCGCCCAGGGGATTTCCACGCTAGAGAAAATTGGAGTTAGCTGGAAACCCTGTAAAGGAAGGCGGTGCGGTGATTCTGTAGGCGAAGGGAGGCCTCTGACTTACTTGTTCGTCGCCTTGGTCGCCGCTGCCTTGACTGGTAGCAATAGCATCTGCGGCCGTAGTTTGCGATTGAGGGTCGCTAATCTTATCCACCACATCTACGCTGCCCGTAGAATGATCAGGGTGGTCAGTTCCCGTGGGGACGGCGGCACTACTTGTACGACTTGTACCGCTGACTTCTGGGATATCATCCGCCTGGTCTACCACAGAGGTGCTCGTTACAGGTGCGAGATCTGAATTAGCTTGGGAAGCTGTTTCTGGTTTAGCTCGTTTGGGGGAAGTAGCTTGAGCAGCCGAAGCAGCCGGACTAGTTGTAGCGGGGCGACCTTTCTCTCTCTTTTTCTCCTCGGTGCGCAGGAATGCTTTGAGGGTTGTCCTTAGGGCTTTATTCGGTTTGCATAGGTCTGCGGAGAGCGGGGTATGAGCGCAGACCGGACAACTTTCCGGCAGTGATGCTTGGCCTTTACAGAGAATGGAGAAGTTAGGGATATTTGCACCACTCGACTAAACAGAACACGCGAGAACTAGCCGAAACAAAAGGGGAGGGGCGTGCTTACAGCTGTCGCATATTGCCTGGTCGCAGCACGGAAGGCGGAATGCATTCAGGGCAAGCTTATTGCACATTGCACATCGCAGTTTGAATGGAATCTCATCTTGGGTGAGGGAGCTACAGGGGAAGCAAAAATACACAACGTCAGCATCAGAGCACCAATAGCAAGCGAAGGAGGAGAGATATATAAGTTTTCTAGCTGCTTACCTGGCAATGAGCATCAGCACTGATGCCGGATCAAGAGCCGCCATATTCGAGGAGTTGCCGCAAACACGGGGCGTGCTACGGTGGAACCAGCGGCAGATAGATTAATAGATTACGACGGGGAAATAACAGGCGAGACACAGGTCGTGGGAACCATTCTGAAGCCAAAGACACGCGGCGCGTAGTTAAAAAGAAGCGGGCGGTTTTCGAAGGGCAGGCTGTGAACCGGAGGGGGGGATGTTGGGGGGTGTTTGGTGGTTAGGTAAAATGAGGCGCCGTTGGCTGCTGCTGCTGCCGGTGACTGCTGGTGGGCAACCTGGGCAGCGTTGTTGGGTTTGAGGTTAAGGTTGACGTTGTTTTTGCTCTTTGACTGTTGGCCGTTGCTTAGGAATCAAGGGATACGGGTAGTTTTTTTTTTTAAAAAAAAAAAAAAAAAAAAACCGGGAGAGTCGGATTAACTGATCACCCGTTACCGAAGGCACATAGTTACTTACATTAACTAACTTACTAACTAACTAACTAGTTAACTAGTTAACTAAACAAGGTGTCTTAGGTAATCCCGCTTCAACTTCGCAGAGTTCCTTTTCTCCGTCCATTTGTAGGATACGTGCGTCCAATGTATGCTACTAGCCAAGTTAATTGATATGAAGTTACATACCCCAATCACCCTACTAAACTGTCCATTTGAGAGGTGAGCTAGGTTACGCGTAAGAGGGACCTGCTTTTAACCCGCATAAACGCTAATCCCATCCAGTAACTTCAAGGGCTGGTCTTGACTTAGGACACAAGCAAGCAAGTAAGCAAACCAAAAACAAGGTCCTTCAGGAGGATGCAATTTCAGGTTTAGCGCTCAGTCCGACTCAGGTAGAATAGATGGTTGGGCCCGGGGGTATAATCAAGTGGGGTAGGGGGTGGGTGGAGTGGGTTGGAAAAGGGGGGAGAGGGAAACAAAAAAGATAAAGAAGGTTGTTTGCAAGCCTCCCAAACGAACCAACTGTTGCAGGTCTTCCCGCATAAACATTCTTCCGCCGGCCTCCCTCAAGCTGAGCTTTGGACAAGGGGGATTCTTCGGGACTTCATTTCGAAGAACGAACCACAACTGATCTAGTGAGGCGCTGCCACCTGCAGAGCAGACAGCTTCAACCAGAGTCCAACCAACCAACGAATCAACCAACCACCATCCCCGTCTTGCTAGTCTTGCTAGCATATCTAGACGCTACAAATTCCTACCCTATCCTCCCGACCTCAGCTCCAACACCGCGGAAAACAAAAGGTATCGGATCAGCCTACTACTACTGCTACTGCTGCTGCTGCTGCTGCTGCTGCTGGTTGCTGCTCCTGCTACACTGTTACTGAAGACCACTCTACCGCTCTATCGTACGGAGCAGTCACTAGCTGTGTTCATCGTTACCACGGATAGCGGAGAGTGATTCGATAACTAGCCGTTTCCAAGTCTGTTAATCTATTTGCATGTTTCTCCACACCAAAGGGTCGTCTCCATCTACTCCGTTATACACACACAAAAAAGGTTTAAAAACCCCTCTTGGAGTCTAGTATATATCTAGTATAGCTACATACCGGAGGTGTATATTTGCTAGGTAAGATGTTCTGCGCTTTAATTTCATTCGCGCATCTGCTTAACTGCTCGTCTTCTCCTTTCAATCTTCCCACATTTCTGAGGAAATAAATCAGATCGGCTACTATACGGCTCCAGCTCTATTTTGATCTTAATCTGCTCCATGACGCGTTGTTTTAGTCATGCGCTTGTGATGGCCGTGATGGTGTTTCCGTCTATGTCTAGAAACATGAACAACCGATTGTGCTCTCCCTATATAGTTCACTCCTCTGATCTTCTTCTCTATACTTATTCCCGTCCATGGACCCTACCCCTGCTAACACCTGCGGTGCCCAGCGATGACAGAACAGGATAACTCGTACAGACCGCGATCGCCGGACTTCTCAAGCTTCCCCGGAACCCTCCGTATCCCCCCCAGTCCTTACGGACCAGCCCCATACCCTCTCACCAGCCCGCTGGCACACAGAGCTTCCTACGACGCGTCCCCGTTCTTCAGCCCTCAAGACGCCCAGCCCCAGCTCCTGCCGCAACTCCAACGCCCGGCACCATCGTACGTCGAACCATCTTTTGATACAAACTCCCCCCAGATGCCACCCCAAACGAGATCACAGTCTGCGACTGCGGCTGCGGGGCAGCAGCCCCAGCAGCAGCCGCCGCCGCCCGTAGAGTGGCATACAGCGCCAGAACCCCCGGCAGAGAGCCACCCGGTGAAAATGGGGAGGACCAACCCGTCACGGGCTTCTGGGGGAGTCGAAGTCAAAACAAAGTTTCCTGTAGCTAGAATAAAGCGAATCATGCAGGCCGATGAAGATGTTGGGAAGGTTGCCCAAGTTACACCTATTGCTGTTTGTAAGTTTATGCATTTTCTTCTAACCCCCCTCCCGACACCCATCTTTTCTTGGTGACCTGTCGTATTCCATCCACCAAACATGAGAGCTTGGCTAATAATAGTTATCTTTTGCAAACATTAGCCAAGGCACTCGAGCTCTTTATGATATCCCTTGTTACGAAAGCTGCCCAAGAGGCTAAGAATCGGTCTTCGAAGCGTGTGACTGCAGCGCACCTCAAGGAAGCCATTGGAAAGGATGAAGTTCTCGATTTTCTTGCAGATATCATTTCTAAGGTGCCCGATCAGTCAACGGGTGGGAAGAAGGATGACGATGGAAGTGACCATAATGACGGACGCAGGAAAAAGGGAGGTGGGCGACGAAAGAAGGATGACTATGATGATTTCTGACATGATGTTACCGATTTTTGATTCCCTTAACGACTTTTATTTTTCCTTTCCTTTCATTTTTCTTTCAATTTTTCTTTTTCTATCTTTGTTGAATTCTTTTGTTTCTTCCCTTGCTCCTTTCCTTGCTTCTTTTCTATTTTACTAGAGTAACACCAGCCCTGGACCGTGTAGCATTTAATGGAATTGGAGGCGTTTATTGGATCAAGGCTTGCTTCTCATTGGTTAGCTCGGTTTGTGAATCACGATACTGCCTGGATGTTTATAGCGGAATCCGGTGTCTTTACATAAATGCCATGGTCATGAGCTCCAGGGAAGTCGTGATCAGGCTGGTTCACATACAGAGTGGCATCCCGGTGCGTGTCCTGGCTTCTCTGATTGTGTGATGAAGCAAATTTTATAATCCCTGGCCATAGGGAAGTGTGCCGGTATTTACGATAATAACTTAGAGGACGCAAACTTTTAATTCTAAACAATTTCATTTCATTCTTATTCTTTCCTCTTTCATAGGGTTCATTATAACCGAAGAATCAAGGGGATCAGGAGCATTGTGGATCAAACCAACTAAAAATAATTCTTCAGGTCACTGCATTTTTAGTCTGTATCACGAAACGAACCCGTCGAAACCAAGGTAACTACAGTGTAGGCTTTACATGCCGGCCAGCAGCACCAAACACCAAAGGCCAACACCCGAGAAAATATTTCAAAGTGGTAGACTGGTGAAGGATCTATCATTTGCATCCTTTTTGTTCCGCAAAGGATATGCTGTCGATTCTGAACCATGGACTTTGTAGGTTGTCAGCCAGAGTTCTCATTTCCAGCTCACTTCTTCCTGTTTGAGACTCATCCAAATACTCACTAATAACTGCCTGCAGTGGTCTCGTCTCATTGGGGGTTCTGGCCTGTCGTCATCTAAGGGGCTTCGGGGGAACTCTGCAGCTGACCGTCTGTCGGCGTTTAAGCATGCGTGTAATACGCTCGATGTGAGAATAAATAACTACTCCTCATTCTAGCCTTACTGGCCTTTCGACTATTGTCCTTTGTTCCAATTCCAATGCTAACACGACGTTTATCATCCTATTTAATAGCAAATATGGCGTAGCGCCCCGACGGCTTCGGGAGAAGCTGCTGCCATTCCTCAGGTCCGAAATTGTCTCCATCGCCTTAATTCTGTCCTCAGCGATGAGTCTCGCGGCCCTGCACCCCACCCCTGCCAGGCGTTCGCTGCCTCCTCGCAGGTGTACCTTACCGTCACTAAACTTGCGCTATCGTTTTGTGATCCTGGAGTGATTTCGAGTGCCGCAATCCTCTTCAATATCTTGATTGACGCGGAAGTTGAAGGCATTGTCGATAATCGTATCTTTGCGAGGGCACTGGTCGACCTTGTTCGTAGAGCGGGCTCTGCCGGCGAGGAAGGGGAGGGGAGGCTTGTGGAGCTGCTTTTTGGAGTTGCAAATAATATCAGACTGCGTCCTGCCATTCTGTCTGCTTGGTTCTTCCCAAAGAACTACGGGAATCGAAAATTGGAAGTTATTGAGGGCGGAAACGAGTTTGCGGGTGCAACGCGAAAGGATGACTTCCCTCTCTTCTATCTTCTAATCGACTACGTGCATCACGAGGGAAGATCGGGAGATTTTGCTCGCACTGGTCTATTGTATATTATCGAGACGGCATCAAGATCAAAAGAACTAGAGCGGTGGCTGATAGAAAGTGACCTTGCGACCTTAATGGCTACGGGTCTAGGGGCGCTTTACAGCCAGTTGAACAGGTCTGTACGCAAGTTTGCTTCTATCCGGCCATCTGTGTATATCCACTGACATTGTAATCACAGGAATCTTCTTTTCTCGAGGAGGGATGACGAGAGTATCCCCCGTATCATCGCTCTTTCTGACCATGCGCCAGAGGAGGCTGCCGCTCGCCCCAAACTCGGCACTCATATGGATGCATTTCTCTCTTATTTGCTATTCTGGCAAGACACCATCGACCATTGCAAATCTACCGAAGTCAATGATACACTGCTTGATCATTTTCAGGTTCTATTTCTCCAACAGTTACTGTACGGTTAATGCCCCGCACGCTGATATTCATACTGTCCTTGACTGACTATGATATAGCTATCCTTCCCTCTTGGAATCGTCGGATGTGGATGGCGGTTCCACATCCGCTGTGCTCACCTATCTTTGCCGCATTTTGGAATCCATTGACCAACCGGACTTGGTTCATCGAATTTTGCACTTTTTACTGGCCTCCTCGTCTGGGGTCGAGCCCGCCATTCAGATTCCCGAGGAAAAGCTGCGAATGTCGCTAAGTCGCCGCAAGTCTCTTGATCTTTTAGCTTCGTTTGCTGAGGCTTCTGCAAAGCCGTCACCGGAACTTTTCAATTTGGTTGACCTCGTTTTGATGAGTATTGGGTCAAAAAATACCCCCACGGTGGTAGCAACTCTCCAGCTCATCGCTGTCATTTTTCAACGGCACCATATATTTGCAAGTTCGTTGATTAAGACCGTTTATCGTCCTGAGGGTTCTGTTCAAATGCGCTCAATTGGCGTGCTGAATGCGGAATTACAGCATTTTGTGAGCTTGGCAAAATTAATACTGGAAGACCCCTTCTTGGATCAATCCTACCAAAATTATCTACTTGATGCGTCTGCCATTCTCGAATTAAGGACACCCGTTCTACCTTTGATTGGAAGCATAGCCACAGATCCCCCTCGAGATTCGCTTTTGCTTCTGCAGACTAACGATGATATATTACGGGGAATGGTCTCTCGGTTGGAGTCATTTTTCACTAACAGCGTTGTAATGAATTTAGCGTTAACAGACGCTATCACCGGTTTGGCATCTTCGAACTTTGTTTCCTTGGATGGATGGCTCCTAGTTGAGCCTGATGATTACGAACACCAGGCCTCGGATCCGAGCTCCATAGGTCCCCCTCATCAAGAAGTTGACCCCAGTGGAAAATTGAATCACATCTTTAATTGTACCCCGTCAGCGTTGCCCCTAGTGCCCAGGATTATTCGCAAACTGGTTCTAAGAATCGAACAATGGCGGCTTGAAATACCAGATTTCGACATCCTGGTGGCAGCCCGCAGATATTTGCTCCATTCCGGAAACGTGAACGAGGCAGAGTTTGATGAAGAATATATTGCCAAGTTTTCTGCATCACCCCCTGGACCTGCAAGTGAGCGCCAGAGTCAGAATACGACCAGGGTTGGGACGGGCTCCGACTCGCCACGTGGCCGCAAAACATCACTTTTTGAGCGAACAGATTCTTCGCCGTCACGTCGGTCGGGCAATTCTGGTTCAAGATCGCTATTTAGTTCCCCTCTCCGGGATTCTTCCCAAAAGCAAGCATCCTCCCGGCCAGTGTCAGCAGCCCACGCTTCATTGGCAGCAGATGACCTTCGTAGACGTCTTGCAACCCCAATGAAAGTCGATTTGTCTGTTGATTCCTCTGACAACGTGGATTCTGAAATCGACAGTTTGAATTCTCCTTCAGCTCATTCAAGGTTAGAAACGATTGGTGACCAAGCACATCTCAAGGAGCACAGTCACCCAAATCCCCATGTTACACTAGGACACATCCTGACAAATGTCATCATCCTATATGAATTTATTCTTGAGTTAACTGCTTTAGTTCAAGTTAGGACAGCGTTATTTCAAGAGATCAAATTTGAGACCTAGCTCTTCGGCTACCGTGTGTTAACTGGCTTTTTACACTGTATTGTAAGGCATATATGCATTGAAGAGCTGGACGATAAAAGCCTTCTCCAATGCTGCTGTCGATATTTTTGTAAAAGTTCCTTAATCCATTTCCAGAGGTAACTAGGTACTCAGTGCGGAATACGTATATATAATAGTGACTATAAATTTTAAGACAAAATTTCTCTGGTGGTTTTCGGTGAGGCTACTCCGCTAGTAGTTAACTATAGCAGGAAACAATTTAGATCATTCCATGCAATGATACAAATCTACACGGTGGATGATGATTCCAACAACGACAGTGGGATTTGGCTTGCCCACTTGCCTGCTCCCCAAAGCCGATATCCCATCTTGACTTCCCGTTAGACCCGCAGTTTTGCTGAACAGAAGCGGTTAGTTAGTTATCTAACTAGTTAACTATTTAACTAACTAACGTAGATCTAATCAACTTTGGAGAACATTCAAACTAACTGCGGTCATCAAACCCCGAACCGCCGATGGCTAACACATCCAGTTAGTGGTTGGAAGGGTCAAGGGAGATTCTGATCGGTGATCCTGGAGTTGCAAAGTATAATTGTTAACTATTAGTTAGCAAATGACCATCGATTCTGAAATGGCCCACAGAGAATTTAGGATTTATGCAGCAGCGGTAGTAGTTATGCATAACACATCATTTTGTGTTACAAAATCACACACTTCTCTGCACATGCTTAACGGTCTCTCCACGCTTACAAGTTCAGACCATTGCGAATATCGTGGCTGCTGCTGGATGCTCCTTGACCAATGATATTTCCATTCTTACGAGAGCTGGGAGTGGATTGCATTTCCTTCTACAATGTTGCAATACCGGTCACTTTTAAGAATATTCTGACATTCCTGTGAACATCCTCATACTAAGCGGTAAATCTACAATGGATGGAAAAAGGGGTAATCTCCTCTAACTACTGGTGAGAACTTCATCCCTTTCAGGAGGCTTAAAATATCCGAGTTGCGCGAAAAAAAAATATATAAAAAAATAAAATAATAATAATAATAATAATAATAATAATAATAAACACTACGGACTACACTCCTACGTAGACAATCAATTCCATCTGACGATTTAAACATGGTCTCAATGTCACTACTCCTAATTGGCGATGATACATGACTGGTCCTCTCTCTTTTCACAGAAAAACATGCGTCGCCCACGACTATTAATGAGTTGGTTAGCCTTTCCGATGTTTTTTATTTTTTATTTTTTATTTTTTATTTTTTATTTTTTATTTTTTGCTGGATGAGCTGTGGTTCTGCTGGTGAGGGTCAGCGAATATTGTGTGACCTTGCAGCCCTCGTGGTTCTACCACTCTTTCAACGTCCTGTGTTAAATAGTTAGTAGTTTTGGTTTGTTTTTGTTCATGGAGAAGCCCGGCCTGTCATGTGCCGGAGGTGCTGTCCCATGATGAGGTTTCCGACATGGACAGACGATGGAGCGACGACAATCGATTTGCAGAAGATATCACCACACTCTTTGCCGAACGGAAGACACCGCTGTTATTCCTGATGTTTTCAAAAGTTTTGAAAGCGTTGTTTCAAGACGCCTCTGAGACGGGGGGATTGTGCATACTGCATGTTTAATGCGCAGTCGATATAATGCATAACGTGAGGAAAGTTCTAGACTGACAACTTATTGTGTCTGACAGAGTGATGAATGTAGATGAAAAATGATATTTTTTTTTTTTTTTTTTTTTTTATTTTGGTCAAGTAGGGAGTAGTTAACTAACTGCTAAGTGAGCGGCACATACAGCCAGCCCATGGTCGGATGACAGGATCAAGGGCACAGGGTGGAAAGGTTGAAGGGCTGTTATTGACAACATGCGAACAAGCCGATTATTTACATCCAGCACTTCAACGTAACTATGAGAGGTGTTGGAGTTATTGATCCGGGCCGTTGAAGCCACCTTTCGGGGGGTGGGGGGGGGGTGCCAACCAACAACGCTTTTTCATTTGACAGTTGAATCCAAGCCTTGGCCTAAGGTTTTCTTGTGACGAGAGCGTGAGCAGAGCAGGCGTTTTGCTGAGCAGGGTAAGAGGAATACAAGTAGTTAGTTACTGCGACGTTGTTAGTTCAGAACGTCACAGTGGATTTGCCTCGTTAGTTGGAACCAATAACTAACGGAGTAACTAAAAGCCTGTCAGTCCTCCCAACTTCAGAGCGCAAGATACCCCCACTGTGATAGAGCTGATCGTCGACGGTTTGTAATATGCATCCCATAAAAATGCCTACAACCTCCAGCTGGAGTTATTCTCAGAGAACCATCAACGCCACCTTCTGGTTATTAATAAAACTTACTTTTCTTATTTACCAATTCTACGGGTTAACCGCAATATTCATGATTTACTCTTGTACAACCAAGGTGTTGACATCCAGGCACCCATCCAAGCGGGCGCCCGCATGCAAGTCAAACCCTCGTCCGACACGTGCCGTACGGTGGTGTGATATTCATTGCCGAAGGATGCTTCAAACAGATTTGCCAGTCATTACAACTACAATTGAAGAGGAGAAAAAAAGCAGAAGGGAAGTGATTGAAGGGAGGGAGGGGCATTTTTGTTTCAAGATTTCAAAAGCAAGAAGCTTGCTTGGTCACCAACAAATAATAACAAAAAACCTCCCGTCAACAAAAACAGTTGTAGAACGACCCCGCGCCATTGCCAGCTGCTAAACATTTCGTCATAGAGAGCACTATGTAGATACACACATGTGGGGGAAAGAGACAGGGGAGAGGGGAGAGCGAGAGAGCGAGAGATTGCTCTTCCAAGACCAGGTAAGAGAGAGACGAATCAGCTGACGTCCGCCAAAAAAGTCGCCCAAAAAACATTGCTTGATTGGAACAACCGAAGCGGCATTTGTGAGCGTGCGTTGACGGGCATCTCCAACAGCCGGCTCAGCAGAGGAGGGGGGAGGAAGGCAGGGCGAGGGTTTGGAGAGACTCATGAGAGGAGGAAGGTTGGGTTGCAAACAAGCAACTATGAACATAAATAACACTTTGGCTGCCGGGGTTGCCAAGGATCTAAGATTGAACCCGCAAGCCAAGCCAGCCAGCCCAATGAATGGATGAAATGGTTGGGTAAGCCCCCGGGTGCGGACTGGGATGAACCCTTTCTTACTCGTCCTTGTACTTACTGTACGAATCAATACCAATGCTCCCCTACGTCCACAAATACGGCATGCATGTACCCTTTATGTACTCAGAGATACGTTGATGTTCTCTGTACGGGGTCTGCACATTCATCAATGTTCATATATTTATTTATTCTGCCCGCTGTGTTCAGCAGCAGCACCGCCCCCCCAACTGCGGAGTAGTTACGCACATATTCCGAGCATGGGCTCTGTACCTAACAGTAACATCTACGCCCTTGTCGGCATCTGAATATAGGCCATATTAATGCCATCCATTATGATATGCGGCTTTCTGTTCTTGAGAGTAACTATATACTGTTCCTGTTACCTGCCCGGGTACCCCTCCGTATATGTATGTACATAACATGCATTTGTTCAGTATGGAGAATGTGGGCTACAGAGCCCATGGGAGAGTACCCATGTTGTGTGTGTATGTATGTATGTACAGATACACCGCCATCCGCTCTCCTCTCTGCTGAACTTCGCTCCCACATTCGCAACGTTGCGCCCAAGCCCATTCCCGTTCTGAACTAGTCCACCTGTATGCATGCACTCCTGAGCCATGTACCTAACATACAGACTTACATGCATATACATACATGGACATGGACTCTGTACCGTCGTACATTGAGACTTGCGGTTGGGCCCAGGGGAGTGGGTTAACTGACGTAAACCTTGGAAGGTCAGACGTTGTATCGTCACTCCGATTGTCAACTTCTCTATCTCCGGTTTACCAGACTGTCGGGTCTTCGAGAGGCCTTTGTGAATGCTGCCTGGATTTGGGCTGAACTATATTACCTCGCAATGTGCCTCTCGTCCACCATGACCATGTTTCCCTTTCACCTCAATGGGGATCCTCCGCCCTTTTTAGTTTAAAATGTTGTCTACCCTTTTGCCCACCTCCCTACGTGTGATTGCCGTTCTCCTTGGGGCGGCACCAGCCTTGATTCTGGCCGCTCGGGTGATTTATCGACTCCGTTTTCACCCTCTCGCCCAGTTTCAGGGGCCCTGGTATGCAGCTGCGACTTCGCTTACTTTGGCCGCCCTCTCCCTGGTTAGACTCGATATCGTGTGGATAGAATACTTAGTGAAGAAGTATGGCCGTGAGTTTCAACTCATCTTGCAAGAAAATTGATAAAGAATAACTAGATAACTGGATTTATTTATTTATTTATTTTTCACTTTCCAATAACCTTTGGATAGGAAGGCACCCAATCCGAATCCAACCGAATCTTCTGTTGTTTCCTCATCCCTCCGCACTAAAGGAAATATATTGCGACCCAAAATGCAATACCAAGTCCAGCATGTATGGAACTGGCGTTTTCGGTCCTCCACATCTATTTTCGACCCTCGACGGCGATAAGCATCGTGAGCTTCGAAAGTCTCTAGGAGGTGCACCAGTACGGATAACTTGGAACCACCCCAAAAACAAGTCAAACGGAAAACTGATTTGTGATTTCTCGGTAGTGGACTATAGGATCGTTGAAGAACAACTGGGAGCCAAGATTCGATGACCACGTCCTCTTACTTTGCCAGAAGTTAAAGGAGAATGCAGACGCCAATGAACCGGTGATTTTGTGTGACAGGGTAGCGTAAGGGACCTCCCCAGCTTCATAAACCCTGACGTGTCATAGCTGGCACCTGGGACTAACGCTTCTGTAGTCAATTCGCTGCGGATATTGTCACGATGTTACTCTTCACTGAGCCTTTCGGTTTCGTGCGCAATGCCAGAGACGAACGTCGAATTCTTGAGACATGGCGCCAGAGTCTAAATATCTTTGCCTTTGCCTCTCGATTCAATTTCTTCCATTATTATCTCGCGAGGATTCCCGGATTCAGTACTTTATTCTTTCCCAAGAAAACAGACGTTTATGGCATGGGGTGGCTGATGGGGGAGTCCGAAAGACAAGTTAATGAGCGCCAAGCTCTGGTGCAAAGAGGTCTCGCTCCAAAAATCCCGGACTTTTTGCAACAGTGAGTAACCGGTTATTTTTTTGGGGCATCAATTCTACGCAGTTTCCATGCAGCTATCGTACATGCAGATCTCTGTCTTTGAGCAGGGTGAGCGATAGAAATTAACGGTTTCTAGTTGTCTCGACGCCCGACTGGACAAAAAACCACTGAGCCAATCCCAGAAGGAGGCTCATGTGACGCTTTTCGTGCAAGCTGGATCCGACACTACGGCTACAGCGCTCGGATCGACCTTGCGTTTCCTCATAGTTCATTCAGAAAAACTGGGGCGTGCAACGCAAGAAATTAATCAGGCATATCGTTCTGGATTGCTTTCAACCCCGGTGAAATATGAGGAAACACGACAACATCTTCCATATATCGCGGCTTGCATTAAGGAAGCATTGAGGCTCCAACCACCAGCGACTAATCTCTTCGGTCGTGTTGTTCCAAAGGGCGGAAAGATAATTGGCGGGCATTATATCCCTTCAGGTGTTGAGATCACCAGTACGGCGTGCGTTGTTCAAAGGGACCCGGAAGTTTTCCATCCCGATCCACATTTATTCCGACCAGAGAGGTGGCTGGACAGAAACAAGGCAGCTGAAATGGATACTGCTATATTTAGTTTCGGAATTGGCCCACGGACCTGTCTCGGAAGGGACATTGCACATATGGAACTATACAAGGTTATTCCGGAGGTATGTCTCCCGTCTAAGGTGTGAATGTATCACGTACTGATATTTCATTATAAAGCTTATCCGGCGGTTCCACTTCGATCTTGTAGAGCCGGGTGAATATCTTGTTGTAAGTGGTGTTGGATACAATATAAATTTGACAGTTAATCTTACGCCACGTCTATGATTTTCACTTTAAATTTAGTTGAAGCTTGCTGTTTTCAAGTGCTTTCACATTTAACATTATATATACTTTAACTACAATATTACTTGAGGTAAAAATTTGAAATCTAATATTTATTAAAGTATTAAATAACTCTCACTCTTATGTTAAAAATTTAATATATCGTTCCATATTTAATATATATATATATATATATGTTATGTTTTTTTTTTTATAATTTTATATAAGGAGACGACGTTGAGACAGGGAGTCAACAGTGCCGTCGCGTGTGTTGTTTGATGGGAACCCGAATGGGTAGGGTTGATAGCTAAGAGAGCAGACGAGCTTATGTCTAGGGCTGAAGAGGAATCTAAACAATCAAGGATACTGATAATTAGATAGAGAATTGTATGCGTCTTCGATAAATCTAATCCCTCTAAATAATGGGTAGGTCAGATAGCTAGCTTTTTAACTAGGGTTTTCATCATCCTTCTCTTTTTCATGAATACACTCAGATATCTATCTGATCCAGGAAGTGGTGATTTCTTTCATAGAGATGATCATTCTGTCATCTCATTATTAGAGTAGAGGCGGCGCCATGGAGAGGTAGTTTCTAAGATAAAGAAGATATCAATGCCAAGATGTCTTTTACTGGATCTCATGATCATGATACTTATAATACTATAAAATGAAGTTTATTTATTAGTTAAAATTATGTATCTTTCAATAAATGGGAAAATTATTTTTGAAAGTTATAATAATTATGGTATCATGAAATATAAGTGGTGAGCTGTGAAAACATTTTTAAAAATTATAGGGGTTAGGGTTAGGGTTAGGGTTAGGGTTAGGGTTAGGGTTAGGGTTAGGGTTAGGGTTAGGGTTAGGGTTAGGGTTAGGGTTAGGGTTAGGGTTAGGGTTAGGGTTAGGGTTAGGGGTTAGGGTTAGGGTTAGGGTTAGGGTTAGGGTTAGGGTTAGGTTAGGGTTAGGGTTAGGGTTAGGGTTAGGGCTAGGGT